TGTAGAGTTTGAGTCACCTTGCCCTGCGTCCACCAACACACAGTACAATAGAGCCTCGGTAAGAAGGAGGTGTCGGGTCAGGAGACGTAGGAGGCGTAGGAGAAGGAGGAGAAGACGAGGGAGGAAAGAGAAGATGGGCTAAGAGAAGGAGGAGGAGGAGAAGAAAGAGAGGAAGGAGGAGGAGGAGGAGGGAAGAGGGGGAGATGGAATGGGTGAGGTTTTGGGGAGACAACTGGAGCTGACAGGTTACGGGTGGATAATCTTTTCTTGAGGAAAGTGAACAACAGGTGACAGGTAACCAGTCCAGCTCCCAGACAGGTAACCTTGGCCGTGAGAGTGAAGTTGGCCTTGAATACACTCGTTAACTAATCTAATACCCAAACCCTACTCAACACTCACCTTTTCCTATGAGAGAAGAGTCCCTAGTTAGCACATAAGACTTAGAATTTTGATTTTTTTTTCTTTTAACTATTGTCACCTCACCTATTTCACCTTCCTTTCCCCTCTTCTCCTTCTTCTCCTCCTCCTCCTCCTCCTTCCTCTTCCTCCCTCCCCCTCCCACCAACAACTAACACCCCCACCTATCCCCTTTATTCCTTCCTCTCCCTCCCTCCCCCCCAATATAGCCTCCAGGCAGGTAGGTCCTTTCAGGTGAGCTAAGACATTCCACAGCAAGTCGTAAAACCCTCTTGCGGCCGACGTAGGGAACCGTATCTTTGGTGTGTGTGTATGTGTGTGTGTGTGTGTGTATGTGTGGTGTGTGTGTGTGTGTGTGTGTGTGTGTGTGTACTATACATCAAGGGACCAATAACAACAGTACTAACACAGGTGGACCAGGTATTGGAGGAACACACACGCACACACACTCTCTCTCTCTCTCAAGGTAATCATTATATAACATTTAATATATTGTCCAGGTAACTACATGCTATATACAACTAGTAAAATATATTAACAAATTACTCTATTTTTCAGACTTTTTTAAATACCTTTTTTATATATATTTTTTCTATATATAAAGTTATTAATATACAGTAATCTAGTGAGTTGAATATAATCAGAGTTATGTTAAATGAAACAGGAAAATTATCTCAGTAAGAATCAATTCGTAATGGTAAAATGGATAGAGTTATATTTCATAGTCTGTTTCATCTTGATAGTTGGATTCTCAAGGCTTCGTAAGATAAATTATCCCTCGTAACTAAGAGACAAATATCGTATCTGGTTATAGCAAAGTTTGATATCAAATCAACGGAGGGCATTTTAGGTGATATCTTTGTGATGTAGTTTAAGTGAGATTGTTGGTT